CATTACAGACAACTCTGGTCTATGGGCTGTAATATAGACGAGTGGGAGGAAGGAAGACCACTTTACGTTAGGGAGACGATCTACAGTAGGCGAAAAGTCCTGGTGCTGTCCAGCAGCAACAAAATCTAATGGCACATTCTGTTGCTCACAGAGTTTCTTCACATCGAAACAAAACACATCAAACCAGAGAGGGACAGTATAGAATATCCACGCCTTTACGCAGGTCAGCCGCACATTTACTTGGTCACGTCCATGCTCTGTAGGCGCAGCCGGTTTATGCTGTGTGGATCACGAATAACTTGAGCTACAGGTACCGGAGGCATTGCGGTAAACAGACTTGATAAGCCCCTTCGCCTTCCGCCCTAATCTTGCTGGCATTCTTCACATCAAAGGTCTTAAGGTGCTTTTTTCCAAAAGACCAGTTCGCCCATGTTAAAAACCTGGTCGCCGTACTGTCCTTCCTCCATAATCTCAATGAAACGGAGGAAATTCCGCAACACGGTGAGCACTTAGTTTTCACCACCAATGTTGATATTGTGATCTTGTTCCTCTTCTTAAACCTCTGTAACCACCCAGAGGAAGCATTAAAGGGTTTAAAACTTGTAATTCCCATCTTCAGACACTGCAGCATACAGTTCACGTATGATTCCTTAACTGAGCGCTGCGGTCCACCTCTATGTTCCGTCATACTTGACGCACCAAGTAGCTCATAAGTAATTTTTCCTTTGAGAAGCACCTGGTTGTGAAATACTTCTGGATCATAGAAGCACCTGTAGACTTTGTGATGTTCATGTGCCCTTTATCTTGGCTGCATCCTTCTTAATTGTCCTGATCAGAGATTCATTACCACTGGCGCCATGATCAACCTGTTCCTTTCTCCAACTCTTGTATGATCATTATTCTCAGCTTAAGGAACGTCGTGGTCTTCGGCTTAGCTGCTTCCAGATTAGGAAAGGCTTTCTCTGGGGCGGAACCAAGAAGTTTTACAGAACAATGGATGCACAAAACAATGTAAGGCCTGAGGGATGAAACTGCCCAAGCAGGGCTGGTTCCTTTTCCTCCTCCTCCTCCCGCAGGTGGACACGCCATATTACTTTTAAACCAATCACAGCTAGCAGCGGAGGGAGTAGCGATGCATGGCCCAATTAAGTCCGACACGCCATATGACGTCACTGATAACGCAACAAAGACACACACACTGCAGAACCTACTCGCGCACGCTTACACAACATGGTGGGAGAGAGGCGGAGAGATGGCGGAGGTTTGGATCCAAAATAGGCGGGTTCGACAGCCGCTTTTCCGCTGAAGGCACACGCATCATGTGGAATGTGAGACATTGTTTCGCAGGCAACAGAAACGTGAAGGAATGGACTGCAAGCGAGGGTTGACTGTATAATATCTCAGACTAAAGTTAGGAGATTATAATTTGCATTGCTGGAACCCTTGCAAGACAGCCAATAATTTGAATATAAACGTCATTTATTTTGCTCAAGAGATAAAAACTTTTGTACATTAGTGTACAGTACTGTAGTACATTTATAATATAAAATTTTTCTACTGTATTTTTGGGTAGATTTACATATATTTCTTTATTTATTTTCATCCATTTACATGCACACACCATACTAAAAGAAACGTAATAAAAATAAATGACGTTAGTGCAAAGCTGGAGTGCACATGTACTAATTTGATTACGGTACTAAAATTGTTATGTCTAGTGCGAATTACTGCATGTTTATATTCAAATAAATCAGTATCTTACAAGAATCCCAGCAATGTTAATTATATTCACCCAGGTCATGTCACTGTCTTTTTATAAGAGAGAAGCTTAGTCACTTAAGAACTGATAAATATACAGGTACACGCGTTAGACCTTGGGCCAGTGCCAACTGTCAAACGTACTACCTCCCCTCCCCCCAAGCCCCCTCGCTCGCTCCCTCCCTCCCTCCCTCTCCCCCCAACTGCCCAGCATTGCTGGAATCCTTGTAAAACAGTGAATAATTTTAATATAAACATCATGTATTTTGCACAAGAGATAAAAATTAATCACCTGTATCACATTACAGTAGTGATTTAAGAGTAAAAGTGTATATGTACGTATATAGTATTCCACATACACGTAAGTATAAATACAAAGTTTATATGATGATCGGACAACGTCCATTTTGGTTAACGTCACATCACGTTAACCGGCGCATGACTGTATCCTTCTTTCCTCACACAGCCAAACTGTGGAATGCTCTGCCTTCTTCTGTGTTTCCATACTCATACAATCTGTCTCACTTTAAAAAGCTGGTTTGCTGGCTTCTTCGAGGTGTAGATTAATATAACCTTTTTCTTTTATATTTTTTACTTCTTTTTATTCTTGTTTTTCGCCCCTAGGCCACAATTTTTGTCGATGACCTGTGCCCGAGTGGGCTATTCCCGGTAAAAAAAAAAATCTACGCAATAGTTCATGATCAAAATTTTTTCCTACACTCGGAATTAGAAATTTTGAAAGATTTTCCTATTTTCAGGGGAATTTTCAGAAAAGTTGATTATCAACCTTAGAATTTGTTTCCAAATCCAGAATTGAGAGAATTTTCTCAAAAAATTCTGAGGAAATTTCAATTCAGGTTATTGGAGAGTTCTAGCTGGGAGGGATTCCGACTAATGGAGATATTACTACAGCTCCTCCCCGACTTACGACAGGGTTAGGGACCCAAATCCAGGTCGTATGTCAAAAATGCTTAAATAATACATAGAAAATCTCAAATGGGTCTCTTTTTCTTCTCAGCACCACAAAACTCTCACTTTTAAGCTTGCCAGCCATTTTAAAGTGAAGTACAACGAAAATTTTGTCAGTCGACCCTCGTTAATTCGGACCCCTTTAATACGGATTTCAGATAAATCAGACGAAATCTGAACTGTCCGTATCAAATTTCTGGTTCTGGGATTGTCCCAGTTGTAATTGGGGTTGCAATTTCAAATTCTGTGTCACTACTAAGAAATAATGAAGTCTCTGGTGCACTGCACTCTAAGATTAAGAGAAAACGGACGACACAGGCGTCCTGAAGTGAGAGAAAACGGACTACTATGACGGGGCACTCAAATAAAGAGACATGGCTACATGTTTTGTGGACTACCCACTGTACAGTATCCTTTTCATCACTTTGTAATAAACCTCGTTATGCCTATGTGTTTCTGATAATTATCATAACATTAAATATTTATATATTTAGCGGTTGTACAAACACAAGGCCTCACACATGCCCCTCAGACTGACAGATTTGACAAGTTTTACCAACCATAAAGATAGTTGAAGCTTTAAACATCACTCACAATGGATCTTGCAAATTCCAACTGTAATCAGACATACCCAAGTTGCCTTAACAATTGCAACCCCAGTTGCAATATCAAATTCTGTGTCATTACTAAGGAATAACGAAGTCTCTGGTGCACTGCACTCCAAGATTAAGAGGAAACGGAGGACTCAGGCGTCCTGAAATGAGAGAAAACTGACTCCTATGATGGGGCACTCAAATAAACATACACATAGCTGTATAATGCAATATTAACCCCTAAATCGGTTAATTCGGACAATCAGCTAAAACGGACACCCTTCCTCCCCTATTAGTCCGTTTTAACGAGGGTCGACTGTACACTGACGTTGGGACTCGAAAACCCGTAATTTGACAAAATTTTGGTATGACTGAGGCGGTCATAAGTCAAGTAGGTCGTAAGTCGGGGAGGAGCTGTATATACAGTGTTTTACGGCATTTAAGATGCACCTTTATGTCTGAAAAATTGCTAAAAAAACAAATCAGCCTGAGTCCTATAGGTGAAGTTGTTATCTGCTGTAGGCTAATGAATCCCCCCAGTTGCTGTCTCCAGTAGGCTAAATTCTACCTAACCCAACTCCAGAATTAAAAATATGTTATAACTTGCTTAAACACATTATTTTTTTTAATTAATTAAAAAAATTATGATTGTAAATATAAAAGCTGGATTTATAACTACTGTACTGATGATAATAACCGAGATGATTAACATCCGTACAGCAGACACCCAACTCTTCAGAGCTAAGCAGTAACCATTTCTGAACTCTTACAAGCATTACAATCTATTAATGTCATACCTGCAACATTTATTTTTAAATCTACAAATACTTCTGCTCTTCGACTTAATAATAATAATGATAATAATAATAATAATAATAATAAACGGTTTATTGAAAAAGTTTGCAGCCTGAAGGCTGAAAATATACATTGGACATAAATGACTTATTACTTACATTGGTGGTAATAAGTCATTTATGTCCAATGTATATTTTCAGCCTTCGGGCTGCAAACTTTTTCAATAAACCCAAATCCAGGTTGTAAGTCGAAATGGTCGTAAGTCGAAAATGCTTAAATAACACACAGAAAATCTAAAATGAGTGTCTCTTTTTCTTCTCAGCACCACAAAACTCTCACTTTTAAGCTTGCCAGCCATTTTAAAGTGAATTACAAGTAAAAATTTGTCAGTACACAGCGCAATCACTGACGTTGGGACTCGAAAATACGTACAGTAATTTGACAAAATTTTGGTACGACTGAGGCGGTCGTATGTCTGGGTGGTCGTAAGTCAAGTAGGTCATAAGTTGAGTAGTGGCTATAGATGAAACGGTATGAAAGATTGCATGTGATTGGTCCAAACAAGAAGAAACATTTGTGATTCGTTAACTTCCAAGTTTGTCCGGTGTCCTGTATTTGGATATTTAAAGCTCTTTGTTTGGGGCATGTAACGAGTTCTGATTTTTTCAATTGTATTGAAGTAAAAGTATTTAAAAATTATGCTTAAGTAACAGTAAAAGTACTAAAAAAAATTGGTACTTTTTAAAAAACAATTACCCAAAAATGTTACTTGAGTACAGTACCCAAGTAAATTTATTTAACTACTAAACAACTCTGCCTACACGTCCAGCCAATGAGAATACAGACTAGGTGGGAAAACTTTTGTCTATATCATTGTACTGAGTTTTATACAATTTTACCATATGTGTATAATTTCCTTCCCAGACACATCAGACTTCAGAAACTGCGTGCAATGAGTGTTGAGGAAGGTGCCTGTACACTGTGTTTTGATGAGAGTGCCACTATTGTCCTCCTCCCTTGTGCTCACAGGTAAGATGCTCTATAACTTGTGCTCACAGGTACTATTACTATAACTTGTGCTCACAGGTACTGTTACTATAACTTGTGCTCACAGGTACTATATAACTTGTGCTCACAGGTACTGTTACTATAACTTGTGCTCACAGGTACTATATAACTTGTGCTCACAGGTACTATAACTTGTGCACACAGGTACTATAACTTGTGCTCACAGGTACTATAACTTGTGCACACAGGTACTATAACTTGTGCTCACAGGTACTATAACTTGTGCACACAGGTACTATAACTTGTGCTAACAGGTATAAGGGACACTAAGTGTTGGCGCCTCTGAAGTATTTTGTCAGGTTAAAGTCATGCATCTCTTCAGGCTCTCTGTGTTAGCTAGACTTAAGATTCAGACATAAGACTTCCAGCATTAGCTAGACTTAAGACTCAGCATTAGCTAGACTTAAGACTCAGACATACTGTAGGGCTCAGCATTAGCTAGACTTAAGACTCAGATATAAGACTCCAGCATTAGCTAGACTTAAGACTCAGCATTAGCTAGACTTAAGACTCAGCATTAGCTAAACTTAAGACTCAGCATTAGCTAGACTTAAGACTCCAGCATTAGCTAGACTTAAGACTCAGACATACTGTAGGGCTCAGCATTAGCTAGACTTAAGACTCAGATATAAGACTCCAGCATTAGCTAGACTTAAGACTCAGCATTAGCTAAACTTAAGACTCAGCATTAGCTAGACTTAAGACTCAGCATTAGCTAGACTTAAGACTCCAGCATTAGCTAGACTTACGACTCAGACATAAGACTCCCAGCATTAGCTAGATTTAGGACTCAGACATGAGACTCCAGCATTAGCTAGATTTAAGACTCAGACATGAGACTCCAGCATTAGCTATATTTAAGACTCAGACATGAGACTCCAGCATTACATACACTTAAGACTCAGACATAAGACTCCAGCATTAGCTAGATTTAGGACTCAGACATGAGACTCCAGCATTAGCTAGACTTAAGACTCGGATATAAGACTCCCAGCATTAGCTAGATTTAAGACTCGGTATTAGCTAGACTTAAGACTCAGACATAAGACTTGCATCATTTGCTAGACTTAAGACTCCAGCATTAGCTAGACTTGAGACTCGCACATAAGACTCAGCATTAGCTAGATTTAAGACTCGGTATTAGCTAGACTTAAGACTCAGACATAAGACTTGCATCATTTGCTAGACTTAAGACTCCAGCATTAGCTAGACTTAAGACTCAGATATAAGACTCAGCATTAGCTAGACTTAAGACTCAGACATAAGACTTGCATCATTTGCTAGACTTAAGACTCAGCTAGACTTAAGATTCAGACATAAGACTTCCAGCATTAGCTAGACTTAAGACTCAGCATTAGCTAGACTTAAGACTCAGACATACTGTAGGGCTCAGCATTAGCTAGACTTAAGACTCAGATATAAGACTCCAGCATTAGCTAGACTTAAGACTCAGCATTAGCTAGACTTAAGACTCAGCATTAGCTAAACTTAAGACTCAGCATTAGCTAGACTTAAGACTCCAGCATTAGCTAGACTTAAGACTCAGACATACTGTAGGGCTCAGCATTAGCTAGACTTAAGACTCAGATATAAGACTCCAGCATTAGCTAGACTTAAGACTCAGCATTAGCTAAACTTAAGACTCAGCATTAGCTAGACTTAAGACTCAGCATTAGCTAGACTTAAGACTCCAGCATTAGCTAGACTTACGACTCAGACATAAGACTCCCAGCATTAGCTAGATTTAGGACTCAGACATGAGACTCCAGCATTAGCTAGATTTAAGACTCAGACATGAGACTCCAGCATTAGCTATATTTAAGACTCAGACATGAGACTCCAGCATTACATACACTTAAGACTCAGACATAAGACTCCAGCATTAGCTAGATTTAGGACTCAGACATGAGACTCCAGCATTAGCTAGACTTAAGACTCGGATATAAGACTCCCAGCATTAGCTAGATTTAAGACTCGGTATTAGCTAGACTTAAGACTCAGACATAAGACTTGCATCATTTGCTAGACTTAAGACTCCAGCATTAGCTAGACTTGAGACTCGCACATAAGACTCAGCATTAGCTAGATTTAAGACTCGGTATTAGCTAGACTTAAGACTCAGACATAAGACTTGCATCATTTGCTAGACTTAAGACTCCAGCATTAGCTAGACTTAAGACTCAGATATAAGACTCAGCATTAGCTAGACTTAAGACTCAGACATAAGACTTGCATCATTTGCTAGACTTAAGACTCTAGCATCAGCTAGACTTAAGACTCAGACATAAGACTCCAGCATTAGCTAGATTTAGGACTCAGACATGAGACTCCAGCATTAGCTAGACTTAAGACTCAGATATAAGACTCAGCATTAGCTAGACTTAAGACTCAGACATAAGACTTGCATCATTTGCTAGACTTAAGACTCCAGCATTAGCTAGACTTAAGACTCAGATATAAGACTCAGCATTAGCTAGATTTAAGACTCGGTATTAGCTAGACTTAAGACTCAGACATAAGACTTGCATCATTTGCTAGACTTAAGACTCCAGCATTAGCTAGATTTAGGACTCAGATATAAGACTCAGCATTAGCTAGACTTAAGACTCAGACATAAGACTTGCATCATTTGCTAGACTTAAGACTCCAGCATTAGCTAGACTTAAGACTCCAGCATTAGCTAGACTTGAGACTCGCACATAAGACTCAGCATTAGCTAGATTTAAGACTCGGTATTAGCTAGACTTAAGACTCAGACATAAGACTTGCATCATTTGCTAGACTTAAGACTCCAGCATTAGCTAGACTTAAGACTCGCACATAAGACTCAGCATTAGCTAGACTTAAGACTCAGACATAAGACTTGCATCATTTGCTAGACTTAAGACTCCAGCATTTGCTAGACTTAAGACTCAGTATTAGCTAGACTTAAGACTCAGACATAAGACTTGCATCATTTGCTAGACTTAAGACTCCAGCATTAGCTAGATTTAGGACTCAGATATAAGACTCAGCATTAGCTAGACTTAAGACTCAGACATAAGACTTGCATCATTTGCTAGACTTAAGACTCCAGCATTAGCTAGACTTAAGACTCCAGCATTAGCTAGACTTGAGACTCGCACATAAGACTCAGCATTAGCTAGATTTAAGACTCGGTATTAGCTAGACTTAAGACTCAGACATAAGACTTGCATCATTTGCTAGACTTAAGACTCCAGCATTAGCTAGACTTGAGACTCGCACATAAGACTCAGCATTAGCTAGATTTAAGACTCGGTATTAGCTAGACTTAAGACTCAGACATAAAACTCCCAGCAATAGTCTGTGTTTGTTCCACCAACATAAACCTCTCACTTGTTACTATGGTTAATCCACAAGATCACAACAAGTACAAATTGGAGCTTAAAATAGGTTCAGGTTGTGTGGGTGACTCATAAAGACAAGACTCAGTTTATTGTTATGTGTTGATCATTTATGATAGTTCCTAACCTTCTCAACACCTGTAAGCACATGCCACATTTACTCAGTGATTTATTTTAACAAACTTGTAGAGGAGTTTCAGATCCTATATATGGGTCCACATTGACCATCAGTGCCAATGCTTAAGTCACTTATACAGTGCTGTATTTCTTTACACATGGGGTTGCACTATAAATAAAAATGAACATAGGACAAAAGTGCCTAAAATGAAAAAGTATTACACTAACTCCTCCTGGTTTTTGTAGGGGATTCTGTCAGACTTGTGCTCTGCAACTAGAAATTTGTCCAATGTGTCGGAGACATATTGAGGAGAGACGAGAGGTAGAAGATAAAGCAAACGCCAAGGAGGATGTCACATGACCCTACGGTGAGCATTACTTTAACTTGCCGGAGAAAGTTATTTTGTTCTCTTCCTCCTCTAAGTGATGTTGAAGTTATGTACAGGGGGGTACAGTATGTATAGATCTTGCCAACATCCAACATTTGTCAAGACTCAAAATAAGATAAATATATTAATACTGTACAGGTATATGGAGACATTAAACTGCCTGTTAACTTTAATGGCGAGTACAGTATACATTCTGTAAAGGGCTGTAGCCATCTTGGCTGACAGGGATGGTACAGGAAGGCTGATATTGCCTTCCACTGTTTCAGGTACAGTTGTGAAAATGTGTTCCTACATTCCCTGTGGTAACCCATGTCTCCAAACGGCTAACCTACCTGTATATGACCTACTGTACAGTATAACAAACATATCCACCAATCACATTCGTCGTTACGTGACCAATACCATTATCCATTCATGCAACATTGCCGCTTGGAGACACGGGTTACCACAGGGAATGTAGAAACACATTTTCACAACTGTACAGTAGAACTTCTACTGGAGTCCAGTATATTGTCACTAATTTGGTATTCATATTATGAAAAATTGCAATAATTTAGCATTTTTCTCCCCATGAAATTGTGGGAACAAATTTTGAAACTCAGACCTATTAGGCCGAGATCTTTAATGTGGAGATCCGTGTTACATGACTACCAGGCGGCAACTGGCGCCGCAGACTCTCGGCTACCAGGGGTTGCCAGGTAATGCCAACATAACAATAATGTCTACATCTTACAACTCCCCCCCCCACCCCCCAAGATTGGACGAGGACAACAAAATTAAAGGCACTTAGACAATCTGACTAGAAACAAATGCAAATGACATAAACAATGGGAAATACCTAAACCTACAACCTAATAACAAAAAGAAAAAGTATTAAAGGAAATGCCAGGACACAGCGCCTACGACAGTGGCATACATGAACAGGAAGCATTACACTAAACAAGTCTGAAAGCCATCAAGGCTTTGTTATATGTCTCCGGGGATGGGCTGGCTTGGGCTGCTGTGGAGGTGACGGTGGGGAACCCGCAGAACCTGACAGGGTGGGCGTTGGGAGAGGCTGGACCGGTGAAGGCGTCAGGGGCAAGGGTGGGCCATGTTCCTCAGGTGGCCACGGGTCCTGAGCGAAACGTGGCCTCTACCATCTAGCCGCACGGCGTATTGACGGCTCTGTAAGGTCCCAGGCTTTAGTGATCTGATTCTGGACCCAGACATGGCTGCCAGGCACCAACAGGCAGCGATGGTGGATGGCACCCCCACGCTATCAAAGAACCTCCTCGTGGTCTTGAGCCATCTGGAGTTCTCATCTGCGGACTGTCTGTCTTCAGTGTCTATCGACTTTGAAATTCTGTTTGGCCGTGGGGACTCCATCACTGAGCTGGCGACCTGTTGCCAGCTGGGCCGGTGACTTGTTCACACCACGCAGGGGAGTGTTGAGATACTGGAGAAGGGCGAGAGATACCTTGTCATCATCGAGGCTCCCATTAGCCCCGGTGTTGTTATTGAACACCCTCTTCACAGTCTTCACCGCAGCTTCTGCCCTGCCATTGGACTGGGGGTACTGCACAGAGGACAAACAGCGACACTACACTTCTGGAAGAATTCCATCATTTCCTCACTGACCAGGTTAGTGCCACCATCTGTTGATATCTGCTCAGGTGCACCCCACCTGGTGAAGTAGCGTTTAAGCTGAGCCATAATTCAGCCGGAGGAGGTGCCACTGGGGAAGTGAGCTATCTCAAGCCACCCAGTCAGCCTGTCGGTGTAGGCCAGGTATATGTGTCCCTCGAGCTGGATCATGTTCACCGTTTGCTGAAAGGGGTATTCAGGGGGTGGCATCCGGAGCAGGGGCTCAGGTGGCTGGGAAGGTGCATGGGTGTTGCAGGTGTCACAGGAGGACCGGTGATATTGCAGATCGCCCTCCAGTCCTGGCCAGTAGGCAGTTTGCCTGGCCCTCCTGAGCATAGAGTCAAGGCCCTGGTGGGCTGCATGCAGGTTGGGGGCCACCTGGTGACGGAGGCCCTCGGGGATGGCCAGACGTACACAACCCTGGTCGAAGTTGTAGGTCACCGTGCCACGAGATGCGGACAGCCTGTCCCTGACATTGCAGAAGGGCTGTAGGCAGGCAATCTCCTGCGACCTGTGGAGGTGCCAGTTGTCAGCCAACACCTTGGCCACTAACAGCTGGTAAACGGGATCCTCGAGTGACTTTGGAGGACCATCTCCTCGTCTAGGGTGACACAGTCGCTGAAGTCCAGGGCTGCCACAGTGGCTGCAACCATGGCCACTGCCAGGTCCTCATCTTGGTCGTCGTCCATGTCGTCAGGGGTCGACTTGAGGGCGGCATACCGGGACAAAAAATTGGCGGCACAGTTTTTCTTCCCTGGTAAGTAGCAAACTGTGAACCTGTACTGCAGTGTTTTCTCTTTCAGACGGAAGAGACGTGGATTAACAATGTCCGCGAGGGCCCTGTCACCCAAGAGCTTCACCAGGGGACGATGTTCTGTTATTAGGACTAGGCTGGGGCACCCTAGTAGGATCAACCGAGCTTTTCGGAGACACCAAGTCACCGCCAAGGCTTCCCCTTCCATGGCCGCATATCCCATCTCGGCTGCCACATGGCGCAAGGCGCCATCCACCCTTACAGCAGAGAGGTGCGTTCACCGAGGAGCACCTGCAGTACTGCTGGAAAATGAGGAATCCAATGCCATCCCTGCTCCAGGAACATTTCTTGCAACTGGTCATCCCGGTAAACCTTCTTCCCGAAGGACTTCTTGAGCAAGTCCCTGAAAAGTTCCATGATGGGGGCCGTGGCCAGGAACGGTGCCAACTGGTTGACAAATCTATGTCACGACCCTACATCGGTAATTGAAGGCTGTGCCGGCATTTTAATAATCCTGGCAGCAGAGAGACAATCATCTGTGAGCTTGTAGGTGTCCCAACCTAGGTGGAAACCCACAACTCCACCTCCTTCCGGCAGAACTGGAACTTCTCCGGCTTGAGAGTCACGCCCGTCATAGGTGTGCCAAAAGGCCTCCTCCACGCTGGCATCATAAAAGACTGTGTCGTCGACACACTTGTGCTTACGTGGCAGGTCCTGGATGGCATCATCGAACCGCTTATTGGAGGCGTCGGATGCTGAGCGATGACCCATGGGCATATGGCGGCCCCAGGGTGTTATGAAGGTAGTGAGGCGCCTGCTATCTTTGTCGAGCTCTACCTGGTGGAAACTCCAGTGGGCATCTGCCACTGTTTTGTACGAGTGAAGAGGGACATCGGATACCATATTGAAGGGTGCCGGGGTGTGGTGGGTCTCCCGGAGGTAGTACGCATTGAGTTTTTATAATCAACAGTTCTGCGAGGTCTAACTCACTTCTTGGAAACCACCACCATCCGAGCGCACCATTCCGTGGCTTCCCCTGCAGGGACTGGACTGATCACCCCCCTCCTGACATCGTCGTTGAGCTGCTACTTGACCTCCATCTCCCAGTGCTTGGGGACTGAAGCAGGGGTGTTGCACGCATGGGGCTTGACACCAGGTATCAGATGAATGTGATGAGGGTTACCAGCCATCACTGGGAGCGGATACCTATCCGTGTTGAAGGTGGTAGACGAGAAGTGGAGGAGGAGCCACTCCTCCAGCCTCGAGGCGTTTTCTTCTAGTGGGTGGAGCAGCATGACAGGTGGCCTGGGTGGGAGGCTGGTGTCACCCCCATCCGCCACCCCATCGCAGCAACGGAGGGGAATGGGAGCAGGAAGTCCACATGCACCAAGCCGAGGTCCTTACAGATGGTGAGTGATAGGTACAGGTGCTCGACAGACTTGACGAAGTGCACGTCCTGGAGAGTAGATCGGTCGGGGAGGCTGATGTGGCAAGGCGCAGAACCCAGGGTGGTCAGCTAGATGTTGGCCAGGTCCCGTAAGCCAGCCCAATGCTGTAACCTCCCTGACCCAAGCCACACTTCACCTCCCTGACCCACTCCACACGTCACCTCCCTGACGCACCACACTTCACATCCCTGACCAATGCCACACTTCACCTCCCTGACCCATGTCACACTTCACATCCCTGACCCATGCCACACTTCCACATCCCTGACCCATGCCACACTTCACCTCCCTGACCCACCACACTTCACCTCCCTGACCCACTCCACACGTCACCTCCCTAACCCACCACTCACCTCCTGACCCATGCCACACATCACCTCTGACCCATGCCACATCCCCCCCATGCCACACTTCATCTCCCTGACCCACCCACGTCACCTCCTGACCCATGCCACACACCACCTCCGTGACCCATGCCCACGTCACCTCCCTACCCACTTCCACGCCACGTTCCTGACGTCACTTCCCTGACCCACACACGACACCTTCCTAACCCACTCCACATGTCACCTCCCTGACCCACTCCACACGTCACTTCCCTGACCCCTTAACATGTCACCTCCCCTGACCCACTCCACACGCCACTTCTGACCCACTTTCACCCTCACACCCCTGACCCACTCCACACTGTCACCCCTGACCCACTCCACACCCCTGACCCACCCACGTCACCTCCTGACCCACTCCACACGTCACCCCTCCCTCCCCCACCCTCCCTGACCCACACCCCTGACCCACTCCACACTTCACCTCTGACCTCCTCCTGACTCCACCTGACCCACTCCACACGTCACCTCCCTGACCCACTCCCTCCTGACCTCCCACCTCCTACACTCCCACCGTCCTCCCCTGACCCACTTAAGATGTCACCCTCCTGACCCACTCCATACGTCACCTCCCCTGACCCTCCCACACCCACCCCCTGACCACTCCCACACCTCACCTCCCCTGACCCACTCCACATCCTCACCTCCCTGACCCACTCCACACATCACTTCCCTGACCCACTTAAGATGTCACCCTCCCTCCACCACACGCCACCTGACCCACTCCCACGCCACTTCCCTGACCCCTTCCCTGACCCACCACCA